TACCCATTAACTTTGCATTTGTATGCTACCCTGTGTTTCTAAATGTGTTCCTTTTTATCTACGGTGTTTTTTCTCTTTAATAAATACAGTTCACCTGGTTTGTCTGGTAAAACACTGAAAAATGGGGTGTGTAGCATGAACCAGTGGTTTCTGCTCTTAAAAAGATTCAAAAGTTCAGGGTTTAAAAGGGATAGTTCATCCAAAAATGAAAATTCTGTCATTAGTTACATTAATAAAGACCTCCGTTCAATCATCGGAGCACAAATTAAGATATTTTTGATGAAATCAAAGAGCTTTCTCATAGGGATGGACCGAAATGAAAATTCTTGGCAGAAGCAGAAACCAAACAAAATTAAACACTGGGCCGAAGGCTGAATACGGTTTTTCGAGTTTTTTTCCCCCCATGTATTTTGCACCATTGCATAAATTAAAAAGCCAAAATGTGCTTTTTACTGTTTTGTCTTACTTTAAAAAATAAAAATAAAAAATCAATTACAAAACAACAATTTTAAAATATTTAACACTGAACATTTTTAACATTCTAGCAGACACTATACCAACAAAGCACAATTTAACTTAAAATTAATAAGTTAGTAAAATAATATTTTTTGGCCATCAGACCCCCTTCTTGAATCAGGCATGTCATTTTTTTTATTATTTTTTTTTTTACTGTACAATTAAAAGCAGCTTTGCTGAGAGGAGACTTCTTTTAAAACATTAGAAAATATTACAGATCCTAATTTGAACACTATGTGTGAATGTTATAATAAATGTATTAAAACAGAGCTGTTGTAATGATTATTATCGTTATTATTGTCTTACTTTTTATTTTATTTTACAGAACAACAGTAAAATTACAATACTAACATTTATGAATGTTGATAAGAGTTCTTGCTTTTTCTCAACTTTTATTTTGGCGGAAACGCGCAGGAAGACATCAATGCTTATTTTGTCAATCACCATACATTAACCAGCAACAATCACCCCTTCCTCTTCTCATTGAAGACATGCGATGCAGTCCTAAACAGTCTCTCGCTGTCGGTGCTTGTAATGATTTTTGCGTCTTTCTCCGACAGTTTAAATGCTTCTACACTACTGACGTGTGTGCTGCATAATAAAGAGTGCGCACCTCTCACTTTGAGCTGGTTGCTATTTGATCGCGTCATATCATTGTTCGGTACAATTTATTCTGTCTTTTCGCTTATTCGGTTTCGGTTGCCGAACATTCAGTGCATCCCTGCTTTCTCACCCTGCATAGACAGCAATGCAACAGACACATTTAAGGCCCAGAACGGTAGTAAGGACATCATTAAAATAGTCCATGTGACATCAGTGGTTAAACCATAATGTTCTGAAGCTACAAGAATATGTAGCTGGAATATTCAGAAATCTCTCGGATTTCATCAAAAATATCTTAATTTGTGTTCCGCAGATGAACAAAAGTCTTATGGGTTTGGAACAACATGAGGGTGAGTAATTAACAACAGAATTTTCATTTTTGGTGAACTATCCCTTTAATGTTTTTTTTTTTTCACCAAGGCTGCATTTGTTCATTCAAAAATACAGTAATATTGTGTAATATTATTACAATTTAAAACAAATGTTGTCTATTTTAAAATGTAATTTATTCCTTTGAAAGCAATATGCTGATTTGGTGTTCAAGAAACATTTCTTATTAAATAATGTTGAAAACAGCTGTGCTGTATTTTTGTGGAAACTCTTGACACTGTGATTTATTTCTTTTTTCCCCAGAGTAGAAAGATCCAAAGAACAACAATTTTTTAAATAGAAATAATTGTAACATTATAAATGCATTTACTGTCGCTTTTGATCAATGTAATGCTTCCTTGCTGATCTAGTATAAATTTGTTTCAAAGAAAAATAATCATACTGATAAAGAGTAAAGACAAATAACAAATAAATGTGCTCAAATATGTTTTTCTTCAGCCTCTTATAAATTGAAATATATAATAGCTACTATTTTTCCACTATTCAGCAGAGACATATCTTTGTCCATCTGGCAACATGTATGCTCCTCCTCGCACACTGATGGCCAAACTGAAAGTGCAACACAGTAGGTTTAGAGGTGCTCTCTCCAACATCTGTGCAACAGCAAACAGCTGGTATTATCTATTCTGCTGCTTTTTTCTAAAGCCTTCGGACTAGGGTCAGGATTACACTGCAATTATGCTTCATCTACAGCAGTTGCCTGCGGGACATAGTATGGAGGAAAGAGGAAAACTGCTTTCCTTCCTGCTAAGCTTCAGTAGAAGACTAAATAGCTGAAGACTTGGTGTAGAAAACACCTCCTAATCCAAATTATACCATAACTGTTTTTCATCTTGAGACCCCAGCGCAGGACATCTGTCATACTGGGATAGTCTGCTGGAAAAACACATCCTCTACATGAATACAAAGCTAAGTTTGCAAGCCTAGGCTCAAAGGTTGTTGAATTCCACTTGGAGGTATTAGAAACTCTCTGCGCTGGGAAGGGGCACATTTTTCAGGCAGGCATACAGTAGGCTGGAATTCCGAGAATGTGTGTCTCCGATTTCCTTCTTAAGAATGGCTAGACTAGATGTCATTAATACCAAGGCTTTCGAACACCAGCCCACCCCTCCCAATAAAGAGTATATTTTTCCCGAAACTTCTGGACCATCGCATTTCACCCTATTTGGTAGCCTGGTTGAGCCAAGGAAGTCTCACGGAAGCGGTCAGCGCTATACGTTAATCAGGGACATGTGATGTGCTACATCATTTTGTGTCATTCTGAATCAGAAACACATTTTGAGTTTTGTGTGCTGAAGAAAGGATGAAAGTATCTGCTTACTAAAGGCATAATTATGCTTTGACTCCAAAGCGTTTAATTAAATGGTGGCGGTCATGAAAACTTAAGATAAGAAAAATTCTCAGATATTTATTTATTTATTTACTTACTGACTAAAAGTTTGGAGTCAGTAAAATGTTTTAATGTTTTTGAAAGAAGTCTTCTGCTCACCAAGGCTGCATTTATTTAATAATAATAATATTATGAAATATAATTACAATTTAATACATTATATTATATTATTCATGAAAAGCAGAGACTGAATTTATATACATTTTATATAAATATATATTTATTTATTTACTTATTTAACCAGGAAGGTCCCATTGAGATACAATATCTCTTCTACCAGGGAGTCCTGGTTAAGATAGGTAGCAAAGGACAAATTTATACACAAAAAGTAATACACATCACCACACAATGAACAAACATAAAACACAATTTTCTACAAACAATACAAATCCTAGTCAGTTATTAAAACATGTACACTGTTCTATATAAACAGACTTTAAAATATTTTTAAACATAGCGAGAGATGGTACAGATTCCGTATGTAATGTACCTTGAAGCTCATTCCATACCTACGGAGCATAATTAGAAAAAGCAGAACGATCTATCGCTGTATGAAAAATCGGCATCTTAAGAGTTCATCTGTTGATCTGGTATTATAAATTTTTGTGCATAATAATAATTTGTGCAGTATGTCAACAAACTAGATATATACATTTACATTTAGTCATTTAGCAGACGCTTTTATCCAAAGCGACTAATGCAGCTTATCATCAATCACAACTCCAAGGTTTCTAGCTGTTTTTGAAGGAGTTATGGTTGATGAGCCTAACTGGATGGTGAAATTTTGATAAAGTGATGGGTTTGTTGAAACCACAAGCAGTTCTGTCTTAGACAGGTTGAGTTGAAGGTGATGGTCCGTCATCCAACAAGAAATGTCTGTTAGACATGCTGAGATGCAAGCGGATCATCAGGATGGAATGAGAGGTAGAGTTGAGTGTCATCAGCATAGCAGTGATATGAAAAGCCATGTTTCTGAATGACAGAACCTAGTGATGTGATATATACTGTGGTAATTTACCCACTAAAGCTTTTAAAATAAAAATTAACATGTTTTTTTCTCCTTAAGAACAATGAAGTCCATTTTGTCATTTCATATAAATTACAGTGATGTGTGCGGACACTTGTACCAGTAACAAATCGTAAAGCAGCATGATAAACTACATCCAATTTTTTCAAAACATTCAGAGGTGCATGCATATAAATTATATCACCATAGTTCAATACTGATAGAAGAGTACTTTGTACTAAACATTTTCAAGCAACAAAGGATAAACGTTTTTTTAAACAAAAATAAACGTTGGTCTCAATTTCTTTAAAAGACTATCGATATGAGAACTGTAAGTTAGCTTATCATCGAGCCCGATACCAAGATATTTGTAAGATGCAACCGTTTCAATCTGAGTACCATTTAAAGTTTGAATCATAAAATAATTAAATGATAATCTGGACCGTGTAAAAATCTTGTATTTCGTTTTTTTAGCATTCAACACTAATTTTAAGTTACCAAGAGAAGTCTGAAATAAATTAAAAGCATTCTGTAAAAAGTCCATTGCCACTTTTAAAGAGGGAGCCATAGTGTAGTAGATGATAGTATCATCTGCATAAAAGTGTACATTTGCTGGCTCAACTCCTTTACTAAGTTCATTTATATAGATAGAAAATAAAATTGGCCCCAAAATTGATCCTTGAGGAACACCTGTCTTCACTATTAAGGGAGCAGAAACATAATTATCTATGGACATGCATAAAGCATCCAATGTGTCCATGCCCATGTTGATTAGAGTATTAAAAACGTGAAAAGTATTAATTGAAGGTACATTTAGAACACATAAAAATGTGCGATTAAGTTGCGATTAATCACGAGTTAACTCATGACAATCATGCGATTAATCACGATTAAACATTTGAATCGATTCTCAGCCCTAATATATATAAATAACTAAGGTAAATTGAATGTTTTAGATTTTTTTTCCCCCCAAAAACAGCAAAATCCAAAATGATCAAAAGTTGCCCATTACATCTTACATGACTCATTCTGATGGAGCATATCACATATATTCAGCTACTGTACAAGACAGAGAGGTAAGGCCACACAACCTACCAGTGTCCTGTTGTGCTTTGTTTTTGGTTAATGATTTCCCCAGGCCTGGGTCTGCTGGAACTGTAGGCCACCGTCCTGTGAGAAATCAAAAGAGGCTTGTTCAGATGCAGAGTATGGAAAACAAACAGGCAAGGCCACACAGCACAAAGCCTAACAAAGAAAAGCAACTGCCCTAGGCTTCTCCTCTTCCTCCCCACAATCTCCTTCCTTCACTGGAGCTTTTCCTTTAGTCTTGATGAAAAGCTAATCTCCCACATCCCAATACAACCCTGCAGCGAATAGGCTGTTTACAGAGAAAACACAGATAACTGTCTGCTAAGCACCGCTGCGCCCTTTTCTAAAAACACCGTGTTCTCCTTTTTAAGTGCGGGTTGGTGCATCTTCTGTTACTGTCATCTTGTTGAATTCCAGCTCTGCAACAGGCATTAACATGTACATTCCTGAAATGTCTCAAATCAATGCATCATTGCCATCACAAAATTATAAGGCAACGGTAAAGACCTGAAAAGAACTGCTCTCAAAAACAAACAATCCTACTTTTTTTTTTTTTGGACAAGCAGCACTAGGTGGCAGGTCTAAATTTCTGGGGTTAATCTTGTTATGTAATCAGATTTCAACAAGAGCTTTTTGGGGGGAGAGTGTTGATGTCATAATGTTTCAATTTAAGAGAGGATGGATGAACTCAGATGTCACAAAGACTAAAGACGATAAAGGGAAAATCTAGGTTCAGGGAGTATGTAAATAGAAGTGGAGGTGCAGGATGTGAAGACAGGCTTCTGACATGCCAAATTTGTGCCTGATTAGCTCAGGTCAGAGATCAGATTATCTGTTTGCTCAAAGGAGTTGCTCCAAACTCCCACACTGGGACAGCAAGTGCCACATGACTGAAAGCACTTAAACCTATACAATTATAACGCTGGTCCATACAGTAATACTACACTTTACTAAAAACACTTACTTTAAAAGTAGCTTTGCAGGAAGCAGAAATAGGCTACAGAAAGAAAAAAAAAAGCTTCTGGCTTAGTTATAACACACAAACAGAGCAGCACTTAGTGCCAGAAAATATACATACATACATAAATAAATAAATGGAAATGTGCATTTTTAGATGTCACAATGAGTTTGCCATAACAGTTCAGTTTTTTCTGTCTTGACAATTCAGTAAATATTTAACCCATATTTATTTATTTATTTATTTTATTTTAATATTAAAATAATATTAATGTTGATTTACTTTACTTGTAAATAATGATTTATTTAGTTATATAATATACATTTACATTATATAAATTACTTATATAACTGCATATTAATAGTATGCACATGAAATAAATAACATTTTCAGTAAAAATAACATTTATAACAAGCACAAATTTAACAATATATTTATAAATGACTTCATCTAGCTAACTAATAGATATGAATATGGATAATTTTGAAAGCAGAGATTTTTGTTTTGTCCAAGAACAACAAAACCTAAACCAGTCAACCAGTTTTGACCACAATTTGTGTTCACTGTAAAGTGGCTCACTGTAAATTACAGTTCATGTTTTTTCCCCCCAATAATTACACAATATAAATATATAAATCATAAAAAACTACTTGTATATAAAAAGCATAATATATAAAATATATAAAAGCATATTAATCATAAACATACTAATTATTAAAAATAATGCACATGTCCATTTTTTATTAGTTTATGACATCATGACTAATCAACCACTGCATAGTTTATGGTTACAGCAGTGTAAAATCTTATTTGTTTTTATATACACATCAGGTTAGATAGAATGGCCTTTGAATATTGTCTCAGACAAAGTTCACAGGAATCAAAAAACCTTTTGAGAACCATTAGTTTAGAGAATGTGTATATGCGCATATATGCATGTGGCCTTTCCAATAAATACTCAACTTCTATTCAACAACTCAATCCAGCTATTTTAATCAAATCACTTCCAGATTCATTTCTTTTGCTTAACATTGTGGAAAAAGCAAGTATTTAAACAAAACAAAACAGTTATAAGGCAGGTATAGACCAAGCTGTTTATACCTGCTCTCAAAAATAAGCTGTCTAAACTACCTTTTACTTTTGATTCTGTGCTGGTGTGAAACACACTTCAAAGCCTTTTTGGTCTTTTATTTTTGAGAGCGGGTCTGTTGTCAGCTGCACAGCAGTTCCCTTTCAGTCGGTCACTCTCGACGTCACGTCGGATGACCGACGAAATTGGGATCTCGCTTAGAGGGACCAATCTACTTCGAGTGTAAACTAAATGAGCCAATGCACATTGGCATGCGATTATTGCATCCAGCTGCTGCTGATCACAGCGTGAGTATAAGTAGGCAGCAGATGCAGCGCATATTCAGCTTTTCGCTTCGGAGCCAAGCGATCACATCATTCTGCTCCTGACTACTCTACTGAGAGAAGAAGACTGAACGAGTTCAGCGGGTGACCCAGAGGTGGAGGGACGTGCTCTTCAGGAGATGGTAAGCACACCACTCCCTTTATCTTTTTCCACCACTGACCTCTCGATCGGTGGTAGCCAAATTCTTGACAAAGAGCAATTCCTCTATTTCTGGGTCCCCAGAGGGGACGGAGGGTTGTGGACGATCTAGTGCGTATCACACGGTAGCTGGTCCTCTTGTGAAGAAGCCCTGGCATACGCCAAAAATTAGGGGCGCAGGTGGCTTCCACAGGACATTGGAAGGGGCAGTAGCTGTGGCCCTTTGGTAGGATCCCAATTTCGTCAGTCATCCGACGTGACGTCGAGAGTGACCGACTGAAAGGGAACGTCTCGGTTACGTATGGTAACCCTCGTTCCCTGAAGGCACAGCTCCTGTACCACCGCTGAACGGCCGGGTCACCGGCTCAGCTCCTCAGCGAAAACCTGAATATGCGCTGCATCTGCTGCCTACTTATACTCACGCTGTGATCAGCAGCAGCTGGATGCAATAATCGCATGCCAATGTGCATTGGCTCGTTTAGTTTACACTCGAAGTAGATTGGTCCCTCTAAGCGAGATTCCAATTTCGTCAGTCATCCGACGTGACGTCTCCGTTCCCTCCTTCAGGGAACGAGGGTTACCATACGTAACCGAGACGTTACATGAATAGACGCCTTTGTGTATTAAAAAAAACAAGATTTTTTTCAATGGCCAGTACCACTAATGGAACAGCAAACTGGTCTCCTGCCAACACTGTACAAATGTATGAATGAAAACACATCGCAGTGACTACAGCTGAACAATCCATTGAAAGTATGAAATTATGACAGAGTTGTGGTACTTTGTCTATTCAGCAGTGCAGTCTAGATGCAAGATTCAGAGAAGGTTTAGCTTCCTCTGGGGAGAGCAGAGGGAAAACGGAGGGGCTTTTTCTTTAAAAGGCTTCGTCTCAAATTGCCAGTAGAGTCCTTGTTTTAATTACAGCTCTGGCATGGATGCTCTCTAGATATAGATAACAGATCTTAAGCCACTGAACTGAAAGTCAACAGTATTAGCTCTCTGATCGCTGAAATAAATCCTCATGCTGTTACTCGGTCTCCATCAGGGGGTTTGGGTGTATATTTATCTGACATCCAAACTCATCCCATCCTGCCACGTCCAGGTACGAGATCTGAAACAGGCCGTTGCGGCTTGTTTTTTTTGCAAGTATTTTTTATGACCTTGTATTCATTTAGAGACTACGTGGAATATTTGCACTTTTAAAAATTCATGTAATGCTACAGAACTATTTAAGTGAAACACAAAAACACCTAGAAAGTGATTAAAATGACCGTGGCACTAATTGGCAAAAACAAATACCAAAAATGGCTCAGAAATGTATTTCTGAGAAAAGCTTTGCTTGCCTTTTTT